GTATTGTTATAGATTGTTATATATAATATTAAATATTAAAAGAATTAAGTGATTTGCATAAGAATTTCCTTTTTGAAAATTTGTAAACGTCACATGATAGACTTTAATAAATCTTTAATTCCGGCCGGAATTAATGATCTGCATACAAATTTCCTTTTTGGGAAATTTGTGTAACTCGAAATTTCATTTTTCGTTAGGAACAAAATTTCCTTTTTTGGAAATTTGTGTAACGTCACGTGATATATTTAGCTCCATCGGTTGGCTGGCTTGATTGGCAGAATCAGCTGATCATGGGATGCGATGTTTAAGGGATGTGGCAGTTAGCGCATCACACACAAAATGTCACCCCTTCTGCGGGGATCACATTATATGTCACGTGCCGCATCACATGCCTTCAATTTAATTAGTGACGGAGAATTGCCAAATATATATAGGGTGACTAGCCCGTAGGCCCGGGCGTTGCCCCGGATTCGTCAACGTTGATGAAATTTTAAGGTTTGATTTAGTGTTGCTCTGGGTTCACCAACGTTGATGAAATTTTAAGTTTGGTTTATAAAAGAGGTTAAATTAGAAAATAAATTGTAAGAATACCGGAATTATTTTTAAATTCAAATTTATATAAGATTAATATTATTAATTTACTATTATAATTTAATATTATGATTAATTTTTAAACAATTTAATTCTAATTATTATACTAAAATTCTAATTCTAATAATTAACTTACTTTATTTACTCTTTCTAAATATAACTAATACTAATCTTAAATCTCCTACTAATATAATTGGTGAAATTAATTTTGTTAGTATAATTTATTATGCAAAATATCATCTGAACTGCTTTGCAGTTCAGATGATATTTTGCATAATAAATTATACTAAATGTAACCCAAATAATATTTTATATATGAATTATATCAAATATATAAAATAAATTATTTTTTATTTTTATAAAGAATTTTTTTAACTGGAGTGATGATTACTGGTAACTGAAATTATGATGATTGACTGGTATTATTAAAAAAATATAGTGCCGGTAAAAATTAATAATTTTGGCTAATGGTAATGATCATTTTGGTGATTTAAAGTAAAAATTTTTATAAATGTAAAGTATTTTCTTATATATAATATTTTTAAATTATATATATATAATATATTAAAAAATTTTATTTATACAATATTTTTTGTATATATATTTTATTTATTAATATTTTTTTACTAAAAATTTAATATTATCTTTTAATTGAATTTTAATAATATTACGTATAATTGCCATGAGCAAATACAGGATTAATCATATACAGTATATGTTATTATTTGTTTTTGAATTTTATTGATTATTATTATAGTAAAGGCTAAGTAAATTGAAAATTAATAATGTACTAATTAAAATAATAAATATTGTTTGAGAAACATATATTATTTATTAAAATTTCTGCATAGAGGTTTGCATTGACCTCTATTTTACAATTTAGTTTAGCCCGCACTTGAAAATTAATCTAAAGTGTTAGCCCAGCTCATTCTGTACTTAATATATTAAAAACCTGGCCTGGACTGGACCCAGATTATTATTATAACATTTTTTATAAAAACAAAAAAAAATTGGCCAACTTAATTTTGACTTAGCTTAATTTTGGTCAGAATTAAGAAAATTTTGGCCAGAATTACAAAAATCTAGATTTAACAAAAAATCATGTGCTGGGTCAGATCCAGTCTAAGTAAATTTTGAAGAAAATTTGCCAGCCCAAACATGGATTTTGGTCCAGGTTGGTTAGGGTTTCTGAGTTGTTTTGTTTGCAAACCTCTATTTTTGCATTTATTATATGTTGTTGAAATTTTTTAATTATTAATTTGGTATTATAAGATTTTTTTATTAAACTAATATTTCTTAAAAGTATAATAGATATATTAACTTTAAAAATTAATTTATAGGAAG